CAGTGGTCTAGTGGTTAAGCGCTCTGGCGCGAGACTGATTGGTATTGGATTCTATTCTCGCGAGGTGGTATCATGGATATGCACATCTGAGGAGTCCTACACTAAGACGAAATGGCCGTCCAGTGCTTACAGGTTTTCAGTTGTAGTTGAAATGTTTTCACATGGCCACGTGTATATAGACTCCGCCACAATTGTCCTACTCACTGCCTTTTCGTGGCGAGGGAGTTGTTTGCGAAATTGAGAGGACGAAAAGCGAATGTCCGGCGCTTTAACCGGGTTGGTGGACACGGAACATCCACCTAGAAGAGTTGGCAAACCCTCATTCTAAACCAATGGTGCACATGTGCTCCAGTATCCTGATGGAAATAATGGCGAATGAACTCGCTGTTGGTCACCGGCTACCATAGGATTGCATCTCCTTACGGTGATCCATTGCCTTGTGGATCAGATCTTTAGGTCGAAGGCTCCGGGTGTGGCTCCCTAAGTACACCATCTGGCTTAGTTTGGGCACCTGGGCAGTATCACAGCCCTTACACAAATCGAATGAGATTTGTGAGGCGCATATATATCTAGTGCCTGTTTGTACCAACAGTTATGTTTTTAACTAAATAAATAAAATAAACTCAATGCCCAAATACTGTGAAACTATTCACTATAATTTAGATGAAAGTTCTTTTATAAATGATTACAGCTATACAATGTTATTGTTTTTTTTGCCCTCACTTATATTTAAGAAATTTCGTCTAAATGAAAGAGCGAATAGTTTTACAGTATTTGGGCACCGAGTTGATGTAAAATCTCAGCGAATGAATTTGAAGTAAATCCAACGTTTCTCCTGGCAATCTTTTTAAAAAATCTTGAACAAGATTTACAGGCGAAACGTTGGATTTACTTCAAATTCATTAACGAAGATTTCACAACTATATTCTTCTTTCTATTTAATGCCTCATTTATATTGTTCTAAGCCAAAACTTCATTTAAAATTGAAGTTAGACGTTAACACCGTTGGATGCCGGCCGGCTCAGTGGTCTATCGGTTAAGGGCTTCGGCTCGAGACTGGTAGGTCCTGGGTTCGAATCTCGCGAGGGCGGGTTCGTGGATGCGCACTGCTGAGGAGTCCCATAATAAAACGAAACGGCCGTCCAGTGTTCCCAGGTTTTCCATGGTAGTCTAGCTTCAATTGACTCATGCTTTCTACTATGAAAAATACTGAAGTCTCCACAAAACCCCTTCTGATCTATAATCATTTGCTCACTAGTGACTGACTTCAAGGGATGTTTTCTTGAGTTATAGTGGGAAGTACTTCATATTTGTAGTATTAAAATTGTTTATTTCATTTTGACTGTATAAATAATTCGAGAAAAAAATATTGTTTTAAACTTATGTTTCTATGACATATAAACACATAATAATAATAATAATAATAATAATAATAATAATAATAATAATAATACTTATTTACTTGCACCTTTTACCCTTCGTGGAGGAGCATAAGCCGTACACCAGCATTCTCCATCCAACTGTATCTTGGGCAATACTTTCCAGTTCCTTCCAATTGTTATTCATTCTTTTTATATTTACTTCTATTTCCCGGCGTAATATATTCTTTGGCCTTCCTCTTTTCCGTTTCCCCTTCAGTATTCCAAATTAGCTTTTGCCTCGTGATGTAGTTTGGTGATTTGCTTAATGTATGTCCAATACACTTCCAATAATAATAATAATAATAATAATAATAGTAATAGTAATAATAATAATAGTAACAATAGTAATAATAATAATAATAATAATAATAATAATAATTTCTTACTTAATTAATCAATAACGCGGAAACCAAACAACATACCATGATGGATGACATTTTTCTTAAGTGATTTTATATTGTCATTAATATTAATTGGAATGAACAACATGGTGGATTACTGCCAGATTATTATTATTATTATTATTATTATTATTATTATTATTATTAATTTTACTGTATTATACCAATACAAAAACAATAATCTTAAAGAGAGTCAAATAACAAGGTTATGTGAAACAAAACCAAGAAAAATCGTTTTAACTTGAGACAAAACACTCTATGTTATTATTGAGTCAAAAGAGAGAGATAGAGGGGGGAAGGAGAGGAGGAGAAAGGGGGGTAAAAAGAAGTGAACACTAATATGATATATCTTTTTTTTGTTTTTTTTTGTTTTTTTTTTGTTTTTTGATTGATCAAATATAATAGGTAAATCTAATTAATTAAAATTGATGGAAATAAATAATTGAATTAATTATGAAAATAATAAAAGTGAAAATACTCGTCATATAACAAAAAATGTTGGTGACTAGATTGAATTTAAGTTTTCTTTTTTAGTGATTGTTTTTATTATAATATCTAGGTGATCTTGAAGTAAGATGGTGGTTAGAGGTGGTCAACAGGAATCCCTGGACCCGGGTTTTGTGCTACTTGGCACTCGTCAGCAAGGTGTACCTGTAATCCTGAGGGAACTGGTGCTCCCTGGCGGATTTGATCCCGCGTCACTCAGCTTCACAGTCAGAGACGTTACCACTGAGCTACTCGGGCCGTGACCGACCTTCTGTAGGACTGAGATGTAATCACAATTGATTGATCACTGGGTGGTGATCAATCTCATGCGTGTCAGGTCCTTCTTAGTGCTGATCGAATGCTATCGATCGAGTTGCAATGTGACCACCAGTCTAGGTGGCTCGACACTGCTTGCACTATGTATATTGAGGTGAGATGGTGGTTGAAGGTGGTCAACAGGAAACCCTGGACCCGGGTTTCGTGCTACTTGGCACTCGTCAGCAAGGTGTACCTGTAATCCTGAGGGAACTGATGCAGTGTCGAGCCACCTAGACTGGTGGTCACATTGCAACTCGATCGATAGCATTCGATCAGCACTAAGAAGGACCTGACACGCATGAGATTGATCTCCACCCAGTGATCAATCAATTGTGATCTAGGTGATCTTATTCTAGTTTTTTTGGGGGGATAAATGAATCAGAAGGGGTTTTGTGGATATTATAGAAACTTTGATAGTTGAGATCATGAAGCTAGACCATCATGGAGAATCTCGAAGCACTGGACGATCAACTCGTACTAGTATGGAACTTCTCAACAGTGCACATCCACGATCCCGCCTTGCGAGATACAAACCCAGAATCTATCAGTTTCGCGAGCAAATGCCTAACCGATAGACTACTAAGACGGCATCCAATGGTGTTAATGTCTGATTTCGACCGATCCACGAAATTAAGCGACATATCCACCATTGTTTTCAGTGAGTTACTAACTCACAATTATCTCACTTTTGAGGAGTCCCATAATAGGATGAAACGGCCGTCCAGTGCACCCATGTCTCCAATAGTGGTCTAGCTTCAATTGACTCATGATATCAACTATTAAAATTACTATGGAATTTGTTGGGTTCACTATTATTATTATCATTACTATTATCATTATTATTAGTGGGTTTATTCAATATTAAACTTTTGATACAATATAAAATTCTCAGCACAAAGTATTTCAACAAGTTTCCTTACCTTATTTCTTCATCTATCCTGATGATATATATTGAGTGATCACCCGTTAGATGTTAGCAGTTCAAGAATCGACATCCAAACAATGATCATTCTTTTTAATGCATATTAACATCCATCACAATGTCTGTGATTGTACTTCTTTGTAAATTGCACGACGAAAGGTAGTAAACTTTTCATAAGTGTACAAAGGTCAGGTAAATTGTTGAGATACATTGATGTTAGGAACGGGTAGCCCGGATATTGAAGCAGGCAACCAAGGTTAGAAAATTATTGAAAACGTGGGATCAGTAGACATTTGATTCGTTCATATTAGGCAACTAAGACCTCACAGCAGAGAATCAGATCTAGGAAATTTGATCTTGCATGCAGACTCTTAATCCCTGGACCGTTGAACTGGGATACAGTAGTACATGTACCTAACATCGATCCACTTACGATATTGTAAAACGTTTCACATAGTGTACTGCAAATTTCAATAGACGTATTACAAAGGTCGGAACATGATATCAATAAAATTCAATAATCTCCACAAACCTCTGTGCTGATGATAGTTTAGTGTGGTCTACTTATATCCATAAAAGTAGTATATGGTGATGGTTAGAAATAAAATGTATTTTGAAAGAAAACCGATAAAGAAAGAACTGAAATGAAGCGCAATTGGTATGAAAGTGCATGAACAATGAAATCAGAGAAGACGGACAGATATTTACAGAAGGAACAGTAAAGATTGAGATAATTGATGATTATTTTGTCAATTAACTGTTCATTGTATGATTATCAGAATTTAATGAGATAGTCTGTACTTTGCGCTTAAATACATTCGATTGTCCCCCTACCAGTGTTCTCGTTCATTGCAATAGAACGTCTCAGGTGACAAAGTCCATTTGTCCAGAGCTATCAGCCGACCCTCAGAATACTTTCATGTCCCATCATCTTCTGTTATCTTCATATTTTTTTGTATTTTTTTTTGATTAGATGGAATACTTACTATGACCCAAGATGTAAAGAATACAGAATTTATCTTCCTAATATTCACATGTTCATATCGTTTTGGTCGTGATGATTTAGATGTATTAGGGCTAAAGTTTCAAAAGTTAGTAAACTTTTCATAAGCGTGCAAAAAGCAGGTAACCTGATTAGATATGTTTATGTCAGGAACAGGTAGCTTAGATATCCAAGCAGCCCACCAAAGTTAAAAAATTAATGAAAACTTGGTAGCAGTAGTCGTTTGATTCGTTCATATTAGGCAACCAAGACCCCATAATAGAGAATCATACCTAAAATGTGAACTCTTAATCCCTAGACCATTGAACTGTGATTCACTGGTACATATGACTGATATCAAACCAAAGTTCATTTGTCCAGAGCTATCAGCCGACCCTCAGAATACTTTCATGTCCCATCATCTTCTGTTATCTTCATATTTTTTTTTTGTATTTCTTTTTTTTCATTAGATGGAATACTTACTATGACCCAAGATGTAAAGAATACAGAATATGTTTTCCTAATATTCACATGTTCATATCGTTTTGGTCGTGATGATTTAGATGTATTAGGATTAACATTTCAAAAAGAATTATTACTTTATACAAAATGTTTATGGCCTAATCATCCATTTGATGATAATGGTAATACTAAAGGTAAAAATAAGAAATGGAATAAAACATGGAAAAAAATTAAACGTTTATCATCAAAACGTAAAACTGATTCAAATGAACAAATTTCATGTACTATAACAAATGATGATCCATATGGAATATTTTCGGAAACATTAAAACAAACCGATTTATTACCATTTCAAATCAAATTATTAAGTAAACATGGTGATTTAGCATTTCCATTTCGTATAAATGTAAGTTATGATGATTTATATTTGATAATTTGACAAGACTATAATTTATAGACGAGTCAATTAGAAGCGTTTTAGGGATTTTAAGGTCACGGAGTCGATTTCAGTATTTGGTGCTTATGTACGATTGGTTCACAGAGAATTTTAGAGAACACTTGACAATTAAGCGGTTACACATAAATGAAACTACTAAGAAGTTCCTGTATTTGTAATTGAGGGTATTAAACGACTTATAGACCTTATGCAAACTACCGTGATGTTGTTCTTCGATGTAATATATGTTGAAGGAAGACTATTTGCTAGAATAGGAACCTTTATTGCTCGATCCAGATGGAGTCTAAGGCATATTATAATAATTTCCGCGAGCTGTATAATTAAAGCACCAGCATTATTGACTGCAATAATCGCAGATGTTACTGAACCTATGAGTATTGTAGAGACATATCCACAATAAAAATGATTAACTTACACAACCGTAGTACACACAAACAATATTGAATGTATGTGGTCGAGGCTGAGATGGCTTATGTCACCTTATCAATGGTTCCAGAGACCAACTATTATGGAGCCATATGGATGAGTTCCTCTACCTTATGCTTTACGATTTTGGAACCTTTCAATCTTTTTCTAACTGACAATTTTTCGGACCATATAAAAGAATTGTATCCACTTTAATTATTTGGTTTTGTATATTATATATTTTTACTCTATGCTGACTGTTTACTGATTGGCTAACGTTTCTCAAGGTCACCCAAGATTCCTTTCAAAGGTCGTTCACAACTTATAGTCTCGCCGATAATTTTGTAAAAAAGGGATTTTGTAGATATTATAGTAATTTATCAGTTGATTTCTTGAGTCAATTGAAGCTAGACCATCATGGAAAACTTGGAAGAACTGCATGGCTGTTTCGTTCTATTGTGAGACTTCTCAGTAGTGCATGGGACGGAGTCTATCAACATATCTCAACAAGTTACCTGTCTTTTACGCGCTTATGAAAGGTTTAATACCTTTCGTCGTACAATTTGCAAAGAAGTACAATCAGAGACATTGTGATGGATGTTAATATGAATTGAAAAGAATGATCATTGTTTGGATGTCGATTCTTGAACTGCTAACATCTAACTGGTGATCACTCAATATATATCATCAGGATAGACCATTATGGGAAACCTGGAAGCACTGGACGGCCGTTTCGTTCTGGTGGGGTCTCCTTAACAGTACGAATTCAGGACTCCGCCCGGTGCACTGCTGAGGAGTTCTACACTTGAATGAAATGGTCGTCCAGTACTTCCAAGTTTTCTATGGTGGTCCAGCTTGTGTCGACTCATGAAGTCAAATATTACATCTTGTATAAAAATAAATGGGGGAGGAGTGTTGATGCCGTGCTTCGATCATAGTTCGCTTCGATAACCGTTATTAATACCAATCTTAACGGTGTATAATATCAGAAGGCAAAGGGAAGCGGCAACTACATTTTTATTGATAATCGATGCAGACCAGAAAGTTGTAAGCACATGAGCAACTGTAAGCAAGCGAAGCAAAGATGATGCGTATTGTAGATGACTGGGAAGCCAACTCGATTTAAGAAAGCGTTAATCAATATTTATAGTCGGACAAAAATGAATGACAGACATATGATGAATAAGATACGAAGTGTGCACATATATGCTCATATAAAAGTATAGTCAATGTTAATAAGCAAATGATTAACAAGATCAAAATATGACTCAATGTACAGGTGAATTGGCTTGGCCAGTAACTAGAATAAAGTATATGGGCCTAACATATGAACTGGTACTACAGGAGAATGGTCGATATTTACTTATGTATTAAGGGCAAACTTATTGTATATGCGATTTTAGTAAATTAAAACATATGCTGAAGTATAGTATAATATATCTTGAAACAATAAAATAATAGATACCACTCGTTATGAATTTATTTATGTAAAAGGATGATTGACAGTCTAATTGGTAGCCATTATGCTTCAATAGATAAATATCAATTATACATAAGGTCACATTCTTTACTCTATATATACGTTAATGGACTCAAAGAGTAGTCATTCTCCATAAACAAGTGAATAAATCCAAGAAAAATCTTAGATACTGGGTATCTTTCAAGTTGTATATCAATAACTGCTGATGTGTTGTGGGCTACTGATATCCACATAAGTAGTATCTGGTGATGGTCGGGCATTGAATGTATTTCAGTAGAGGATTGTTAAGGTGATAACGGGAACGGCACGCAATCGGTACGAAAATGAATGAACAATTATAATCAGAGACTATGAATGGATATTTGCAGAAGAAACAGTCAAATCGAGACAATTGACTGTCTCCACCCGTGTTTTGTTCACTACACTGAGATATCAGGTTTAAAGATATTCCTGATTAAAATCATGAACATATGGATGTTAGATTATCATTCAAAACCTGGAGGCACTGGATGGCGGTTTTATTCTAGTAAGGTATTCTTCAGTAGTGGGCATCCACGGTCCTTCAATTGAGAATCGAATCCGAGACCTTCGGTTTCACTCATAAACCCTTAAATTTTATACCACTGAGTCGGTATCCATCAGTCATGGATGCACACTTTTGAGAAATCTCATACTAGAACGAAACGGGCATCCAGTGCTTTCAAAATTTAAACGGTATTCTTAAGTTGATCGGTTCATGATTTTAATACAGCCCAACAATTTTAACAACCCTATAATGACCAAAGCTTCTCGATCAAAATCCAACATATGATGTAAAATTTCTGACAGTGCGAATATTATATAAGTGGTAACAAAAAACAAATTATTAAGATAAACTATGACAGAAGAAAATTAGTTTTTGGCTAACCTCATTAAGATGATCTTTCAGCATCGATATAGTTTACATAGTATAATATTAAATCTGTTAAAATGTAACTTAACTGTTACGTCCTTGATCTGTCTACCCACTCCCGTGCAGAAGATAACTTATCTAATCAAGATTAAGATAGGGATGCTATAGGCTGACTGCCTTAACCTCGAGGTTAGTATGCGTGAGTTCAAAATGAGACCAACTGCTTAGGGTAGAGAGACAAAAACTATTCTAACACCTGATCGGCTGACAAGCACGCGCGCTCGAGAGAGAAAACAAGTCAACTGGAACATTACTAGATTTATTCCCCATTTCGGTCTGGTTCTTGATTTCAAATTAGTGTAAAAAGATAAACGAATAAATAGATGATTAACCAGATCACAACGTACAACAATTAAAAAAATACAATAATGTCCAAAACTAAGGATTAGAGTAGAAAATAGAGTACAAAAGAATTACGTTTAAAGTACAATAGCTTTGGAATAGAAAAGGCTATGACATTAAATTATACATCATATGAAAGCTTATAATCTGTAGAATAAACAAGGAACAAAAATAGCTAACATAGTTTGTCAAGGCCCCTTGTTCCTTTGTTTACATCATTGATCGTATATCAGAAATTGTTCATTGATATGTTAACCTTTTACAATTAATTAGTGCGTTAATTTTGATAATGAAAATAATGGTAATAATGAAATTTTAATAGTTGAGATCATGAGTCGAGTCATAAACCGTCTCAGTGGTCTAGATGTTAAGCAATCGCACGCGAGACTGATAGGTCCTGAGTTCGATATTCCTGAGGTGGGATCGTGGATGCGCACTGCTGAGGAGCCCCACACTAGGATGAAACGGTCGTCCAGTTCTTTCAGGTTTTCCATGGTGGTCTAGCTTCAATTGATTCATGATCTTAGCTATTGAAATAATTTATTTTTAATTCATTTGTTATTGTTTACTTGAATCTTCCCATTGAATTTTAGTGCTGAACTTGATCAGTCGCTCATTGGCATATGTTCATACCGTGCGTATCGCTTTGATATTGCTTTAATTCACAAACACAATAAGTAAAGACAGTCAGTGACTAGCAGTGAAATCTAGAAAGCACGTTTTGTCCTATTCGAGACTCGCCAACTGGATTTAACTTCATCTCAGAATTGATGTTCAGTCTGGGACTCAAACCCAGTACTGTTCACTTCAAACACTATCACAATATCTTCTTACCTACCTTAATCCTAACAGACGCCAACATGTGCACTGGGGATGAAGTTTAAATTCACTTGATATTATTTGCTTGTATCATCAACTCTAAGATTCAGCTACATTCAATTGATGAGGTCGAGATAAGACAAAACGTATATATCCTGTTTATATACATATTTTTTATCATTTTTAATAAAGTAAACCAAATAAGAACTTATATAAGTAGTATATTCTAATATGATTCAATTCGATTAAACTTGTATAATTAAGCTATTATAATGAATTTTGCTAAGTTTATCCACTTTATTTTCTTTCCCCCCCCTTTTTTTTTAAAAAAGTTTACTTTATAGCACTTAAAAGTAATATAATGATTTATGAATAAATTAAAAATGATTAACAAAGGTCATAATAGATGGATACTTTCAATTATTAGAGTGTATGGATGATTTATGGAAAATGTTAGTGTATATAACATTGACAATAAGGAAACACTTAAGGCTCTAGATAAGTACATTCCTATTGATGAGGTGAAATTCGAAGCCTAATATAATATTTTATTTTGGATAAAAACATATTAGAATCTCTCTATTCCCCTCTCTCTCTATCTCACTCACACACACTCTCTCTCTCTGTATATATATCTATATAGGGAGAGAGAGAGAGAGAGAGAGAGTGAGTAAGTGAGTGAGATAGGGCGAAAGTAGTCACGCAAGTAGAACTTTCATAGATTATAAATAAGAATATAAAATGTATAAGATATGACTAAAAAGCTTTTTTATGAATTTACATTGGAATATTACATGATGCGATAATTTATTTATTTTGTAATTTACTTAACAATGTTGATGATCTATGTTGAATGATTGGAGGCCTACTGGAGTTAGACGAGAATGGTGACGAACTAACTGACTTCGAAGTCACACCTCGTGATCAGCACTTTACGTGGATTGCCTCATTGACATATCAAGGGACCATGGATGCTCTGAAGACTGTACAATACAATGGATGTCATTACAGGAATATATTAGGTAAAGTAGAACCACTGCAGCAAGGGCCAGTCCATGGCGTATGATTAACTGATGAGCGTTGACTGTCCTTGACTTTGACGGGTATTGATTATCTGTTCGATATTTAGTTACCCGACTGCTAAATTATTTGGATAGGGTTCAGTGACAATTCATTGGCCCTACAGGACCTATAGCTTTGACATTTGATTGTCTATATAATCACTATATTATATACAAGGTATTTAAGCAACATAATCATTGTCATATTCAGTATTATTTCAAACGCAATTGATATATCTTTAAGGTCAGTGAATTATTACGATATATTCACCAGCCGAAATACAATATATACAATCTTGGAACTATACCAAACAAATGAAATTCGACCAGTATGAGAAGCCTAACGTCTTTATTGGTCCTTTTTTCCTTCTAGCCCTTACCCTTGGGTTCAGAAAGCAAATAACAACCTCTATTATGTGAATCATTGATTTCAAACATACTTGGTTTATAAACCAGCCAAACAGATCTCAGCACAGCAACTGGTCAGTCTCTTATTGGCATATGTGCAAACTGTGCTTATAATGCTTGTGAGTTAAGGCTATATCGGGGCAATACGCACAGTATGCACATATGGCCAATAAGAGACTGACCAGTTGCACTCCTGAACATCAATGAGAACATCAATGAACATCAATTCTAAGTGAATTCAAACTTCACCCCATTGTACAAGCAAGTGGCTATCAGGACTCAGTAGCTCAGTGGATAACACAATGGCGTTTGAAGCGAATTGTACTGGGTTCGAGTTGTAGAGTGAATATCAATTCCGAGATGCAGGTACATCCAGTTGACGAGTCCCAAATAGGACGAAGTGACGCGCGTCAAACTGGATTCCACTGCTAACCACTATCCATCTTCGCTTATTATGTAATATTTTCTTTAAAAAAATACGTCTAGTTAATTGTTATTGTTTTTGTGGTTTTATGTTCTGCTTTTTATCACTTGATGTATTCATCATTTCGACATTTCCAATCTTAACACTGTGCCAGATCAATCACGTTCAATTGATATAAGCAGTATAGCGTCTTTATTAGTCCGTTGTCCGCATAGCCCTTCCAATGGAGTCCAGAACACTAATTGCAGCTTCTGCTATGGGAATCATTTATTTCATACTCGGTTTATATACCAGACAGACAGACTGCAGTACACCATAAAATAGGAAATAATATTTGTACAAGATCAAGCCAAATATGGCTGTGAACATGGGAGACCGTAATCAATAAACTGAATATAATTAAAGGACAGTAATTCGTATAATACTAATCCATAGGTGAAGATGAAGCTTATAATAAGAGGAATATAAATATACACAATCTAATTACTTAACAGTTAGGAATATATATGGAATAATATTCCATTAGTAGGTCCTGGAAGTTACCTGTACTTAGGTATTCACTAGGATATAACAGTTATACTTAGCAATTTCTAAATCTATTAAAAAATGTACATGATTATATTCATTTATTGAAGGTTTAATGGTTCTAAATGAGATTTTCATTCCAAAGTAATACGGATTTGATATTGGATAATCAGTTTATTTTTGTAAGCAAAGATAGATTGTGGCTAGCAGTGGAATTCAGGGCGCGCTTTTCATCCTATTTGGGACTCGTCAGCTGTTTTGCACCACGGAATAATTTTAGTTAAACAACTATTTAAAAATAAGTATCAATGATATAGCTCTTTTATTGTAATATGGAACTTTACAGTACTGAATGTAACTGATCGTGTTAAGAAATAAACCCAGGAACTGTATGTCTTTTTGAGCTGTTGATATAGATTAGTTTTGTTTCTCGAATTCAATCGACTTGTAATATTTCCCTATCAATATCCATTTTGTTCGTCATACCTATTTCAAGGCAGACATATTTGATCTCTAGTAGTTTCTTGTTTAGCCATTGGGAACTGTGGACTACTTTTAAAAGTTAGTCACTTGTGAACACGTGAATTATAAGCACATAGTGTCATTTTTGTTAAAGTACAATATTCTATCAGATATGATCAATTCCAAGAACCATATTAGAATCTTAGAATTTATATTTTTCAACTTTAGTGAATTCATAATATGGTGCTACTCTCATAGTAATCTATTGGTTACTAACTTTATTCTAAATAGCTAATAACCAGTGTTGATAGATTAGTTACATTTTCTAATTTAATAAATCTTCTGACTGATTGCTTGAATTGGTTTCTTCAACTCTTCTAATAATCCCAGGCTAACTCTATTTAGCGAATTGGACACAAGAGAATAGGCACGTAATATATGAAGGAACAATTTACTCATAGGTTAATTTATGTACAGAAAATCGAGGGTATTTGTAACATCTAAGACGGCCTTGGGCTTCTAGAAAGTTCTGCACCTTTAATAAACAAGTAGCATGATAGGTAATCATTCAATCAGAAATGTTTCTGAAATATTCCTATTTATTGCTGATTGGATAAAATGTTTCTAAGCGTTTTTAAGGCCCCTTTGGGTTTTTTCGAGGAATTCAGCTGGATCTTTCTGATATTATTCCATTCGATTTCACTTCTTCCATACCATGATGATGTTGGATGCAGCGAAGTGTACTGAGACAAATTATTACTGGATCGTATTAACCTCTCATTACTGTATAAAGTCAATGATAGGCTTTCATGTTAGTTCCCACTTCTTTGACTTCATGATTCTTATTTACCTTTCAACTGTTTTCCAAAAGTGAAGCTGAATGATATGTTCTTAAAAAAAGTAGATTTCACTGAAACATAACAAAATTCACCATAAATTTACTTTGTATTGTTTGTTTGAATCTTCTCATTGATGTTTAGGATTGCAACTGCTCAGTATCTTATTGGCATGTGTGACCAGTTGCAGTCCTAAACATCAATGGGAAGATTCAAACAAATAATATAGAGTGAATTTAAACTTCACCCCTTTGCACAAGCAAGTGGCTATCAGGACTCAGTAGCTGAGTGAATAACGTGATGGCGTTTGAAGCAAATTGTACAGAGTTCGAGTTGTAGAGTGAACATAAATTCTAAGATGCAGGTACATCCAACTGACGAGCCCCAAATAGGACGAAACACGCGTCCTGGAATCCCCTGCAAAGGGATTCCGTCACCTTAGGTAGTTACCATTTAAATATATACTTCGTGAAATGCAATTTGAGTAGTTGCATTTTCTCAATATCATCAATAGACCATTTTAAAAACAGGTATTTTTTAGATTTAATATAATCAAGGGTACAATAAAAATAGTGAAAATCATTTTTATTATTCTTCACATATCCTTTCCCTAATAACCGTTTCATCCTGTACTTGAAGATGCACTACATGCTAAGTGCAAGCGCTAATGATGCGATCCAGTTATCTAAACTGAAGTTAGTGAAGAGGGGTTCGAATATAGGACTCAGTGATTGATGATCGTACGCGACAGCCCCTAGACCATCCTTCAATGAATTTTGGCTAAATAAAAGTTTATCAACCATTGATACACATTGATACGGAATGAGGTGTCATTAAAATTCAGTTCACATGGTAAATATCTATTGAGACTAGCGATCAAATCAGTGTCATTCAGATGGCATTTTGATCCACTGGGTTAGGATATTTAATCATGAAATTTACACTGTCTTTCTGGACAACATCAGTAGTATAAAGTTAGAAGTAAGTTATCCAGTCAACAAGTAAAGAGGATGGAGCTCCACCAAAATCATCCATTTGAGCTAAAAGTGTAATCAATTTCTGTACCGACAATAGATTTTGGTGGTTGTGGGGTAATTGCCTAAATATTACATCTTTTCCAAAAGATAAGATACTCTTTTGGTTTAGGCTTCATTTATTTATTAGGTAACTATGGTAAACAATTTTGTTCACAATTTCTTGTTTATCATCATTAGGTCTTTCATTGAATAACAGTCATTTATAAAATCACATTTCATTTTTAATGTGTTGACAAATTGTTTAAATATATAATAGTATAGTTGTTAAAATGTTTCTTCATTCTCATTTATATTTCAATGATTTCAGATACCTACATCATCACCGTCGTCAGTTGCGATTCAACCGAATGAAGACGATTCTCGAAAAGTAACAATTTTTCTGTAATTTTATAGATGAGATCATGAGTCAGTTGAAGCTGGATCACCATGGACAACCTGGAAGAACTGGATGACCGATCCGTTCTATTGTGGGACTCCTCAGCAGTGCAGATCCACGATCCCTCTCACGAGATTCGAACCCAGGACCTACCAGTCTGGCGCCGCTCAAATCTGTGGATTGGTTTAGGTTAGACATCAACACCGTTGGGTGCCAGCTCAGTGGTCTAGTGAATAAGCGCTCGCACGCGAGACTGATAGGTCCTAGGTTTGAATCTTGTGAGGCGGGATCGTGGATGCGCACTGCTGAGGAGTCCCACAATATAACGAGTTGGCCGTCCAGTGTTTCCGAGTTTTCCATGGTGATCCAGCTTCAATCGGTTCATGGTCTCATTTATAAAATTTATAATTTAATCATCTTATTTCATACTGTACTTTGTGTATATGGTATAAAGGTAGACATATCAAGTTCATGATGTTGATTTTAAAGTTATTGTGTGTGATATTTGAGAAGTTAATAAATATCATTTAGGAGATTCGGTAATCAGAATTCTGACAACAGTCTCTCTACTCTGAGTATACTATAGTCTAGTGTCTTAGACTTTAGTCTATGATACATTAACACCGACACTACTAACCTTGAGTGAAGGCTAACATACGTTTCATTCCTTTTGTCCCATTGATTTTATACCTTGAATTCTAACGGAAAATAAGGCAGACAAGCTTTTTAGAATTATTATCTGAAGCACAGACGGCTCTATATAAAGGCAAACCGATCTGCATCACATCATAATATAGAACATCATAGCTATACACAACCAGGCCAAAAGTGGCAATGAAAACGGGTAAGATGTAGACAATGGATTAATTGCAAATTATAAAATGTATAGCAATAGTTAGTGGTTCACCTGGAAGCTTACAGTAAACAGAATATCAGAACATGGTGATCCAGTTATTTATTACATATTTAATGACAGTTCATAAAATCGTTTCGATGGTTACCATTTCTTCAACCTGGATTATGTTACATCAAGCAGTATAAATGAAATGGAAATACTTACCTTCTATCGGATATTTTCAAAAAGGTTTAATAATTATATAGTTACGCAAAAAATTTCTTTGGTAGACTAACTTGGTAGACTAACTGACAACAATAGTTGCTGCCGAAATGAAGGAATAAACATTGACCCATAGTAAGACTATAATTCATAGATAGCCTTAGAGCGACGATAAATCAATATTGAGAATATTCACCTACATGCTAGGGATCAACAGAAGGTTATAGTTGAGTGTGATGAATTAGGATCCGGATTTAGCGTTATAAATTAGAATTAGGGTTTTTCATCACGAACTGACATCAACTCTAATGCCGAAATTCCATTCAGCCATATGGACGGATAAACTTCACTAGATAAAATAGATATCTATAACCATTGTATGTAATCTGGCTTATATAAGAGAGTCAATGGCTGTTTAATAGTCCCAATAGTTCAGAAATGTTTGCCAACAAACCACAATAAAAAATCATTCACAATTGATTGATCACTGGGTAGTGATCAATATCATGCGTATCAAGTCCTTCTTAGTGCTGATCGAATACTATCGATCAAGTTGCAATATGGCCACTAGTCTAAGTGGCTCAACACTAAGTGCACTATGTTGATCAACACCCAGTGAACAATCAATTGTGATTACATCTCAGTCCTACAGAAGGTCGGTCGCGGCCCGAGTAGCTCAGTGGTAACGTCTCTGACTGTGAAGCTGAGTGACACGGGATCGAATCCATCAAAGAACATCAGTTCCCTCATGATTACAGGTACACCTTGTTGACGAGTGCCAAGTAGAACGAAACCCGGGTCCAGGGATTCCTGTTGACTAACTCCAACCATCATCTTATCTCAAAAAATCATTGTCTGTTGGGATTAAGGAAAGATACCCCTACATATAAAATGATGATAATATGAAGCAGGAAACAATAACAATGTTAGCTAATATCACCTCCATCAAGATTGAATAACAAAACTATTTATATCAATACGGATAAATTCTTCCATATGGTTTGGTCTAAGATACAAGAGGAATTACATAATTGTTCTACAGCTGACCATAATTCATCATGAATTCCAACTTCATACGTAAATAGGTTTTTTTCTACAATTAATTTTCAAATAGAGTAAAGAAAAACTAACTCACTAAAAAGACGCTAACCAGAAAAAATAATTCACACCATTTAAACTCTGTCTTGGGAGTTGAAGGAATAAGCAGATATGAAAAAGATGAATAATAACTGGAAAAGATTGCCCAGGACAGAGTTGGGTAGATAATGCTGGTGGGCGGCCTATGCTACTCTACGAGGGGTAACAGGCGTAAGTAAATAAGAGTGAAACAAAACATTAGTTTTAGTTTTAATGACTTCAAATGAAAACTACGATGAAACTGCTTGATATATTTGTGTGTAAGAGGGGTCGGATTATCTGGCTTCTTAAGTACTACACATTGTTTCTTTCACTAAAGGATAACCATGAAGACACTGTTCTAATTCATATTTCAGAAATCACTTTAGCTGTCATCTGATTTGGTTGTTGCCATTTCTAATTTGACAGTTTCGTTGTGTCGCATCGGGTCATTGGATGTTACTATACCGACAGAGCTGTTTCATTTCAGTTTTTGACTTCCGTTTCAGAAAAAAGGTGTCATGGTTTCATTCTTTGTTCTATTGAGTCTGCCACAGAACATATTTGTATTAAAGTAAGCTTGTCTATTGCGTAATTAGAGAATACCGTAAGCCCATTACAAAGCCTCAATCCCAAGATATACCAATTCATCATTTTCATTTCTATTATCATCGAAAAATTGGACCAATGATATATCAATATCACAGATTAGTTGAAGTTAAGCACTAACATTGTTGGATGCTGACTTAGTGATCTGGAGGCTAAACGTTCGCGCACGAGACCGAAGGTCCTGATTTCAAGTCTCACATGTGTGATCGTGGATATGCACTGCTAAATAGTCCCATACTAGTCAGAAACGATCACTCATTGCTTCCAGGTTTTCAATGGTGGTCTAACATTGATCCATTCATGATATCTATTTAAACTCAATAAACTCCACAACCTTATACATCTTTAAATGTTTAGTGAAAACTACATCGTAATAGTTAATAATTGTTTCTAACTGACATTACATTAATAACTAATCAGCTAGCTACATCAATGCCATTCAATAATCACTACAAAACCATATACTGAAGGTTATCATATACTCACTAGTCATTAATTTAAAGAAGATAATTTCAAAATTCCCCTGAGAAGCACTGATCAATGGAGTACAACTGTGTCAAGTGCAAGACAGTTACCCACCGAAAACAATTTAAGTTGGTCGTGCATTATCGAAAATTGATTGAAGTAAGAAAATTTACATCAGTGGATTAGGACTTAGTGGTGTAGAGGGACAAGATTGTAGTGCCGCGATTCGTTAACCGTTTACTTCGATAACCGTTATAATTCTAAACTTAACGGTGCGTAAAATCAGAAGACAAAGGATAGCAGCAACTACAGTTTATTGTCGAATGACTCAGGTTCGAAAGTTAACAACACCTGAGCGAATATGAACGAGCGAGTGAACAGGCAAACAAGCAAAGGAAATGAACGAGGAGCAAGCGAGCGAGCGAGAGAGTAGCAAGCAATTACATAGGCAATTTATAGTCAAATTTAATAAGGGCACAGCAAAGCAAAACAAAGGCTGATAATAATATTTGTGTGCGTACATATATGGGGAGGAGTATGAGTCATCGAATGATATTTAAGCAGTCAACATTTCGGCTAGAGTGTCATGTGCTCTAGTGGTATAGCAGTGCAAAGAATATGCAAATTGTTACTATCCTAATGACAATGTCTGTTAAGTAAGTTATAAAAAAGGGCTTAACCAAAATTGGCTATAATCGAAATTGATTGTAGGATGGTTGCTATATTACTCCCCCCTGCAAACAAAGATATATGAAAAAATGTCTGTGTTTGCATAATGTACAGTAAATTGGATAGCGTAGTTACAATCATTTGAAGATATGGGCCTGTATAAAATTAGAATGAAGTTAATGTGCATTTAGTTCGTGCCCGTCCGCTAGGCTATACAAAATAGCGGTAAGATACAGAAGGAATATGGTATCGCTTCGAAAAAAAAACTACACGTATGAGCATAAGGGTGTACATAAGCTGTGCCAAGTTTAATAGCGTATAGCATGAATTTAATAATCCATATGTATACAATGAAGAGGAAGAATTATAATTAATAATCAAAGTAGCAGAAAATTATCAGTAAAAGATTGTAGCGACATAACGTTGCGGCCATCTTACTCTGCGACCAGATTTTGTCGTTATCGGAGTCTCTTCGTTTTGGTGCGTTAGCGTCGTTGACTCCTGAGATTCGTGTTTCGTAGGTGTGATCGTCTCCGAGAGGCTTGTGCTTGTCGATTGAAAATCGCTATCGATGAAAGCTGGCTTCACACGATCGATACTGATTACGTCTGTCTTCCCAGCTTTTTCTACCGTGACTGTCTTATCTGTCTTCGTAATCACTTTAAATGGACCTTCATAGTTCGGCTGCAGAGGTGGTTGTACGTTGTCTCTTCTGATAAATACGTGCGTGCTATTATGTAGTTGCTGAGGTACGAATACTCGACGTTGTTGTAGTCTGGGAAGTGCTATTTTTAAATCGCTCATGTGTTTCTTCAGGCGTTGGACGTAGTTGGCTACATCAGTCGGAACACTTTTACCTGAAGCGAAAAATTCTCCGGGTAAACGTAAAGTAGTTCCATATACCAACTCGGCTGGACAACATCCCATGTCCTGTTTAATTATTGTTCTTAAACCTAACATGACTAAAGGAAGCTTATTAGCCCAATCGTTATTGACAATGACAGATGTAAGGGATGCTTTCAACTGCCTATGTAGGCGTTCAACCATTCCGTTTGCCATTGGATGGTAGGATGTC